AACAACAGCAACAACATTGCCTCTTACCACATATGTAGTCAATCTTATTCCTGTGTATTCCATCTGGTGAAGTCCACATGTATAGCTGCCATTTGCATTGTTGAAAAAAGGTATTTGCAATGAATAAGTTGTTGGTCTTGAAAACTTCTATCATGTGATTTCTAGCATCATTTCTGTCAGCAAGGCCAAATTTTCCAACTACCAGTGATTCTTCTTTGTTTCCAACTTTTGAATTCCAGTCACCAGTGATAATTAACACATCCCGATTGCATGTTCGGTCAATTTCAGACTGCAAAATCTGATAAAAAATCTTCAATTTCCTCATCTTTGGCTTTGGTAGTTGGTGCATGTTCTGGTTACCAAGTTCCTCTCTGACAAGAATATATCACAAATGGGATGACTTTAACAAACAGGAGTTTATTCTCTTACAGTTTGGAGGCTTTAAGTCCAAGTTCAAAGTGCCAGGCTCTAGGGTCTGGGTAAAAGCCCCTCAACCTTGGGGTCCAGTTCTGCCCCCTGCTCCTGGCCCATTGGAACTAGAGGCATTTCTTCACTCAGAAAGCTGCTGGCTGTTGAGGCTGACAAACCCAAGGTTGACAAATAAAAAGACACAGTTCCAATGTTACCAAACCACATGGCAGGCCATTAATTTAAGTCCATTGTTAAGTCCCAAGGTTCGCAGAGCACAGCAGGCTGCTGAACAATGACATGGCTACATGCAGGGTCCAAGTGTGCCATAGGCTAGAGACCATTCCCAAATTTGCTTCTTATATACAGGAAGCAGACCACATACTCAAAGCAGCTACTCAGCTGCTTGTGGTAAATCCCACCATGGAGTTGATTGCCAATCTCATCATGGAGAATAACTACCACCAATTGCCCAGCCACTCAACCGGCCCAGCCAAGTTCACACACAAACATAACCACCACAATTCCACCCCTTTTCACCTTGGCATCTGTACAGATCTTCATTGTGTGGAATCTTTACAGATCTCTCTCACTGAGTGGCTCTAGTCCCCTAGTTTCTCTAAGTGGCAACCTCACCCCCTTGGCCTGGTGGGCCCCATTCCTCTCCCTTTGGGGCATGGCAGCCCTGCTCCTTCACTCTTGGGTGGCAGCTATGGCTCCATCCCACTGGCTCACATGAACAAGCAGCCCCACACAGAAACAAGTTGGTGAAGGTCTGGCTCTTTGAAACCTAGAGGGCTGTGGTAGTTCCACCCCCAAAGGTCATTGTCCTACCCTTTCAGGCTGAGACAGCTCTGCTTCTATTTTCTTGGTCTCTCCACTTCTGCCGATTAATGCCAAAGGCTACCCACTCTGCTGGAAATCTTCCTGTCCCCAAAACATTCAATTTGCTTGCTCCATGGGCAGGCCAACCTGCTATTCCATTTCATTCCTGTCTTTTCTACCAATTAATGCCTGAAGGCAACTCACTCTGCCAGTAGGCCACCTTCCCAAAGGTATCAACTTTCTTCTCCA